ATTTGCAGTTACAATTTCTATCTGCGCGATGTACTTGGCGATCCAGTTTTGATCAGATCATGGAACATCGCCGGATTGCCTGCCGATGTATTTTCCATCGACAATGGAATTATCGTTACGTAAGTAAATTGTAATCTCAGTAACATATAATGTTACGTAATGCTAGTATTTTTTTAGAAATGCCAGAAGATGGCCGTTGATGATAGATCCACAAGGCCAAGCTAATAAATGGATAAGAAACATGGAAAAGAAGAATAATATAAGCATTATTCGATTAAATCAACTTGATTATGTCAGGATTTTAGAAAATGCGCTACAATTTGGACAACCAGTGTTGATAGAAAACATAGAAGAAGAGTTAGATGCCATTCTTGAACCGATACTTCTTAAACAGACATTCAGGCATGCTGGTGCATGGTGCATAAAACTAGGCGATGCTGTAATAGAATATAACACTAATTTTAGGTACTCTTGAATTATATGTATACAAACTGCTGCATTTTTAATTTTATATTAACAAAAGCTCATTGATGCAATATATTTTTATTAACAAATTTTATTGCTTATTATATGGCAATATATGGATAGCAAAACGATTACTAATTTTATTTTATTAGAAATAATTTTGTTTTTGTAAATTGTTTCGTCATAGTCATTGATTTAGAGAGAAGAAAATATAATTTAAAAACTTGAGATATTTTTCTACATAATATATTAATCATATTGATACATAGGCTTTATATTACGACAAAATTAAGAAATCCTCATTATCTGCCGGAAATAGCTGTAAGAGTAACTCTGCTGAATTTTATGATAACACCGAGCGGTCTAGAAGATCAGTTGCTTGGGATTGTAGTTGCGAGGGAAAGACCCGATTTGGAATCAGAAAAAAATATTTTAATCGTGCAGAGTGCTGAAAACAAAAAGTATATTCTTTAATATACTTTATACTCTTTCTATTTTATACGATTTACTTATATAATTTTTTACTTTATGATAGGATGTTGAAAGAGACAGAAGATAAAATCTTGGAGATACTTTCCGTGGCAAAAGGTAACATTTTAGAAGACGAAGAAGCTATTGACATTTTAATGATGTCTAAAAATTTGAGCGATGATATTCAGGTAAAGCAAGCGGCCACGGAAGTCACGGAAAAATCGATTGATGCTGCGAGATTGCAGTATCAACCTATCGCGGCTTATTCGACTATACTTTTCTTCACAATAGGTAAATAAATAGTGCAACATCAATAATATCAAGAAAAGTCTTTAAATTAAATGTTTTAACTGAATTAATTTTTTCACAGTATCTCTAGCTAACATAGATCCAATGTATCAATATTCATTGCTGTGGTTTGTGAATCTTTTCAATATGGCTATCGATCATACCAAGCCGACCGATAATATTAAACAACGTCTGAGAGACTTGACCAAATATTTCACATATTCCCTTTACGTCAATATCTGCAGATCTTTATTTGCTAAGGATAAATTATTATTCACGCTACTTCTCGTTTTCAATCTGCGTGAGACTGGCATTACACCAGAAGCCGCGAGCCAATGGTTATTTTTATTAACTGGTGGAATAGGTTTGGAAAACCCGTATCCTAATCCTACCGAGTGGCTGCTCGTAAAATATTGGGATGAACTATGCAGATTGGATACTATTAAAGGATTCGAAGTAAATTTTTGTATAATCGATTAGAAAATCGATATTTATAGATTATATTTGTCAATTCCATAGGGCATCAAAGATTCATTCTCCAACGCAATTGACAATTGGAAGAAGATATTCGACTCGAGAGAACCGCAGAAAGAAACTTTCCCAGCGCCATATGACAAATTAAATTTATTCGAACGATTATTAATTTTGCGTTGTATCCGTCCCGATAAAATTATCCCAGCGGTGCAAATGCTCGTGGAAGGTAAAAGACATGTTACAAGCGAGTATCAATCAAATGAATTAAACAGACATCATTGATTACTTCAATTATTCGTATTGTAGAACAAATGGGTCCGCAATACGTAGAAGCACCACCTTTCGACTTAGTATCTTCTTTTGCGGATTCCAACTGTAGTATTCCATTGATATTCGTCTTAACTCCCGGTGCCGATCCGGCGCAAACCTTGTTGACATTTGCCGATGAGCAAGGCTATGGTGCCAACCGTCTTTTCTCTCTGTCTCTTGGCCAAGGTAAGTATTTACTGTATGAAAATTTCGTATAAAACTAACCGTGTCATTGTCTCAGGTCAAGGACCTATAGCGGAGAAATTAATAAGAGACGGTGTGTGGAATGGTAATTGGGTAGTATTGCAAAATTGTCACCTGGCCAAGAGCTGGATGCCGACTTTAGAAAAAATATGCGAGGGTCTGACACCCGATTCGATTCATCCTGACTTCCGGCTATGGTTAACCAGTTATCCGGCAGAACATTTTCCTATATCGGTCCTTCAGAATGGTATCAAGATTACGAATGAACCGCCCAAAGGACTCAGGGCCAATATTTTAAGATCCTACAAAAGTGATCCAATCAGTAATATAGAGTTCTTCGAAGGCTGCATTCAAAGCGAATACTTTAAAAAACTACTGTACTCGTTGTGCTTCTTCCATGCTATCGTACAAGAGAGACGGAAATTTGGCCCGATTGGCTGGAACATTCCATACGAATTTAATGAGACAGATCTGAGGATCAGCGCTTTGCAATTGAAGATGTTTTTGGACGATTACAAGGACGTGCAGTTTGATGCTTTGATGTACCTCACGGGTGAATGCAACTATGGAGGTAGAGTTACAGACGAGTGGGATCGTAGAACACTGAATACTATTCTATCAAAATTCTATTGTCCGTGAGTATTAACGAATTGTGTAATTTTAATCAATTAAGAAATTATTACTTATGTCTTTATTTAGGAAACTATTGACTGATGAAATATACTACTTTGACGTATTGTCTACTATTTATTATTGTCCGATTGTTAAAGAATACGAAGCATATGTCGCATACATTAGAAAACTTCCGATAATTACAGAACCAAGTGTATTTGGCATGAATGAAAATGCCGATATACTTAAAGATCAGCGAGAGACAGATCTATTATTCTCTTCATTATTGCTCACTCAGGTAATTTTTATCTAATTTTTCGTGAAAATAATTATATTATGTATCGTATGTATTATAATTATTTTTTTTATTTTATCAAACTTTATTCAGGATCGAACGGTATGTAATCATGATATTATCATAAAAAATAGAATTTTAATTTATACTAATCGCTAATAAATTTTATATAATCATAAAGTATTAAAGATGTATTTTTTATAATTACTTTTTTTTCTTGCTCGATCTCAGGATCTTTGGAAAATGAATGAGGTATGTTATATATCGCTTTTTGAGATTACGATCACGATTTGAGATTACTTACATCATGCGCACGTAACTTTAAATTAATCTTGATTTGATTCTCTCTGAGCTTGAGGTGGAATCTTAAGCTAAATGGACTAAACGACTCGAGTAAAGATAATGAAACATTTTATTATCTTTTCTCCTAGGAAGCTGTTAAATCCGGTTTGAGACAAACTTCTGACGATGATATAGTTTATGGTGTCGCGGCAGATATCTTGGATAAGCTTCCAAAGGATTATGATCTCATTGCAGCACTTATTAAATATCCTACACTATATAGTCAAAGCATGAACACTGTGTTAGTGCAAGAGATGGATAGATTTAACAAATTATTAAGCTGTATCAGAAATAGTCTTATTAATGTACAAAAAGCTATTAAAGGTATATATCAGTTTAAAAAAAAAATTCATACATGTGAAATATTATTAATTAACTTAAACTATCAATCTTTTATATTATTTATATGTATATATAAAAGTATTATGATAAAAATTGAATAAAAAAAATTAACGGCACCTTAGAAATTATATTAATATCGCAATACCGCAGGTTTGATTATAATGTCTTTTGAGCTTGAAGATATTTATGGAGCAATCTTGATGAGTAAGTTACCTCTTTTGTGGAAAATAAATTCTTACCCCTCCTTAAAACCTTTGGGCAGTTATATCAATGATTTTCTACAACGTTTAACATTTTTACAAGTAATTATCTGTATATTAGCGTTTTGTTCTTTTTAAGTTAATGATCTTGAACTATTATATTTTGAAACATGAATTTATTTTACAGCAATGGTATGAGGAGGGACCACCCATTACATTCTGGTTGTCTGGATTTTATTTTACGCAAGCGTTTCTAACTGGAACACTGCAAAATTACGCGCGGAAGTATCAGATCCCTATAGACCTTCTTACATTTGATTTCGTAATCCTGAAAGAAACTGTCTTCACGATTAAGCCCGAGGATGGCGTTTACATTTATGGGTTATTTTTGGACGGTGCAAGATTTGATATAAAGAAAATGTGTATAGAGGAGAGCTTTCCCAAAGTACTTTACGATAATGTACCTTTTGTAAGTAAATTTATTCCCCAAGAAAGATATACATGTATTCATAAATCAATGACAAAACTTATCTTTTCGCTACAATTCCAGCTGTGGCTGATACCAATGAAGAAGCAAGATATCGAAGAAAGACCATCGTATGTTTGTCCATTATATAAAACCAGCGAACGCCGTGGGGTATTATCCACTACTGGTCACTCTACGAACTTCGTCATAGCCATACGATTGCCCACGGAAAAGCCATCTGAACACTGGATTATAAGAGGAGTAGCTATGCTTTGTCAACTCAGTGAATAAAATATGCTAATGTAATATCACTTGCTCCTTCCTTCTAGTTTTCCCATTACAGTAGTTTAGATTATGTATCTTAGCATATTCGTAAAATATTATTTTCGATTGCTTTGTTTTCTCGTTCGTAAATTGATGAACTATTTTAATAGCACACTGTATTCTGGGGATGTTATTAGGATGTTCAAAGGATGTACGGAGATCCTGCATCTGAAGGTCTGTGCTATTAGGATAATATCATTTGTTTGTTCAAATATAAAATTGATGAATTTTTGTCTATTTTCTTTTTGTTTTTCGTCGTTTTTTTAAAGAAATACGCTCAAAATATGCTTTCCATGTTCTTTGGATAATTTTAGCGGCTCGGTTCCGCCTAAGCAAATCTAGTTGTTTAGTGAAAGCTATCATTAGCGCGATTTCTCGCTGCTTCTTGAATTGAATATACAGTTCCCGTTGCACGATCAGCTGATCCTAATGAAAAAAATTAATGACAGTTCAGAAAAATTGTACATATTAAATATATATTAAATGTAAGATTAATATATTACAAACCTCCATTTCTTTAATTTTCCCTTTAATAATTTCATTGTTTTTTGATAATTCTTCTGTTAACGCATGAGACGCACCGATGTCGCAATCGTATTTAGCAAGAAGCGCAATATATTGTTGTTCAATGTTTGCACTGAAATATAAAATTAATAAAATTGAACAATCACTTTTTCATATTCCTAGATGATAACAAATATTCTCTAACTTTTGATCTTTTTATGGAAATTGTTCCACATTTACCATATATCAAAAAGCTTTTTCTCAGATGTTGCATTGAATTCTGTAATATTGTGCAATCTACGCTCTGCTGAATCTATTTCAGACTGTAGTATTTTTCTTCGTGTTTCTTCTCGTTCCCTTACATTCATCATTTCCCGCATTGATTCCTCTCTATAAATAAAATTTGTTAAGAAATTATAATACAACAAAGCGAAATGAATTTTATTTCAATAAATAATACATTTCTCAGTACATTTCTTTTGGTATCTCTACTTCTGACGTTTCCTTGATGCTTTGCATTATTTCTTCCTCGTCATTTACACAGATAACAATATCTCTCAGAAAAATTTCAGAGCTCGAGTTTTGTTCTTCAGACATCTCTTGTAAAGCTGCCATAATAATTGATACTTTAATCTGTGTCCGAAATAATGCATATATATTAACAACAATAGAATTTTTCTTCATTAAATTTACCTTCGAGTTCCGCCAAGACTTCCGCTATTTTTGTCCGGCAATCATGCAAATTGATAGCGTGCATGGATTCTACATTGGGAGTTTTCTTCATGCGGGATATAACGAATTTTTTTAAGAGCTCGATGAGATCGATGATCTCTTGAAGCAAAGACGAATCATCGACTCCGCATTTTTTAATCTATTAAATAATAAAGAATGATTCGATCAAGATTATTTTTTACTTATCATTCAATATTCAATTGTATAGAATGAATAATTTTGAAACTATTTTAATTTTATGAATGCAACATAGATTTTTAGCGCGAAGTTAATGCGTTGTCATATTGATAAAAGAGATTCTTTTTCAGACTCGCCGATTAAAATTACTGAAACTTCGGAAATTCTCTATCTAACAGCCAATCAGTGCGTTTGAAAAGCTTGTGGTACAATACACGAAATATGAAGTTTGGAATCGAGTGAAGTTATTGAAATAAATATTAAATAATAATAAAAATTAAATAATAATTAAATAAGAAAAATTTTGAGAAGTAGAATGAACACTTTTTCAAATAGAAAAACGTAAAAGAAAAAAATTAATATTTAATTAAGAAAACAAAGAAATTCATTCATTTAAATCGAATATAAATTTTGTAAAATTACCGATTCCTTTATCCTGTTAGTAAGGCTCGTCAAAAGTTTCTCCATTCGAGTTATTGAAATCGTGATGTCTTCTTGCTCGCTCATGATGCTTTCTCTCTCTGATGCTCGTTTCTATTAATACGTTTCTATCAACAAGTTTAACTTTATTTTTCAATTAACTCTTCATCTTTTTTTAATTTTAAGAATAAAAAAAAGATGAAGAGTAAGTTGAATCTAGAAGTTAATCTACATTAGTAGAACGGACATTAGACTCTTGGACAATTTTATCTCTTTATTCGCAGAATTATCCAGAGTATATATATGATATATCTAACGATCCAACAATACATATACTTCTATGGTTACGATCCTTACATTCCAACGTGCTTTCTATGCAATATCGATGATATGGAGCACTTTTCAACATTCTGCCACCTGAAATTATAATTCTTTTAACTTAAGACTTTGAGATATCATATATTTTCTAAGAATCTATCATTAAAATATTCCCAGCAAATAAGAATGGATTGAAATGGATTCAGATTTTCAGAAATATTGATTCACGAATGTTAAAATGAATGCTTTTCAATCCTGAATGTATTTTTATTCATTTATAGGAATTGCATGGAGCATATCTCTTTCAATCTAAAAATAATATTAGCTTTTTCTGTGTATTGTGAATACTGTTCAATTCAAAATTTTGGAAATGCAACTTTTCAATTCAATCCAATTGAATTTAATTAAATCCAATTAAATCTAAAAAAAAATATTCGCTATTTAACGCATTCGGAATTAGAAAAAAATTTCAATCCATTTTAATCCATTCTCGTTTGCTGGGCCATCGCAATTTTTTTCATGCATGAATATATGTATAAATTAAAATGTATGTATATATAAATATTCAAAAACATGTATAATCATATATGAAATATGTCCATATACATGTTCATATATTCTTCTTTCTTTTGTAACATTACTTTTTACAAGTATAATAGAAATAATAATAGTAATGTGAAAAATAATTAAAAGAATAATTTTCACATTATTTGTTTTAGAAAAAAATCAAGTTTAAAGTAATATAAAAAAATTACTTATGTATAATTATATATAAAATTATGCATAATAATAAATTGTGTATGAACAATTTTTTTATATTTTTCCAAACTTGTTTTTTTCTAAAACGAACAATGCAAAAATTATATCTTATTATTTTTTCACATTATTATTATTTCTATTATACTAAAAAGTAATTTTACAAAAGAAAGAGAGTATGAACATGTACATACAACATAAAATTTGCAGTATCACTGCAAAATCTTTGCAATATTGCTGCATGTAACGTTGCAACAATATTGCAACAGTGTTGCTGCAACTTTTTTGTGTAACTTTGTGCTGTAGGGATATGGACATATTTCATATATGATTCTACATGTTTATGTATGTTTATACGTATATTCATCATGAAAAATTTTTTATAATAATCATTATTTTCTGTATACATCAGCAATGAGTATAATAATTAAGCTTATTATATTTTATCAACTTTTCTTGCTATTATGTATCTGTGTGCATGTGCATAATTATATATAAAAGTACATTTATATATAAAAAAATAAAAATATTATCATTTTTCGCGATCATTGTTTTGCATCATTGTGCAATAGATACTCTAAATTAGAATGTCGATAGGAAAAAATAATTCCTGTCTATATACGTTTCATGCTGCTCCGAGAGAAGGCGTTCCTCTCGGTGCTGTAGGCTCGGTGCTGTGCGATGAATCGCATACATGC